AACGTAGAATAAATGTCGTACTGAGAAGTATCATGGAGTAATCACGTGAGGGTGTACGTGGAGTGTGATGGCGCTGATTGTATTTCGTTGCACTCTGTGCATGACGAGTGAGCATTAATATTCCTCATGTAACATCAAATGCACAACATGTGAATGAATGGGTGAATGAATGGATGAATGAATGGATGGCTTGTAGGACAATCAGCGAACGAGGAGGAGATGAATCGCGGCGTAATAAACAAATTGATGGAGCCAACTGACGACGATGAGGCCGAATAAAATGGAAGCACCGCACAAATCAGACGAGAAAGTAAACAATATATACAAGAAAAACAATGGGCTTCGTAAAAAACGGCTGTTGTAGAGTAATGCCTGCAATGGAATTGCTTTGCGGGAGAATGTTGAATGACATGGAGCTGCACGAATGAGCATTTTGCTACCGAACAGAAAACATTGCAAATACTAACGCACATCAAGTAAGTTCTGTAACATCGCCTTGAATTATATAAAAACTGAATGTTTCTTGCTTGCGAGCACAAGCAGAAGTGAACACATGAAAACATACACACAGCGCAGCACAATGCACTCACAGCAAAACACGCGTGAACAGTTCAATTAGACTTGACACAAATTGGGGTCGTAAAAAACACAGTACAGAATCGCAGAGTGAAACAATAAATGGATGCAACTCAAACAACAGTCACCGTGCAAGACAAAAAATATCCCAAACACACAAACACAGTTGATACAACACAGATAAATATGTAACACTTCTTCACGATGCTGCCATGAATTGTTTCAATGTTTAACATCGAAATAATTCATAACACAACGAACAATGAACTCATAATGAAGAACATTTTTAACATTCAACATCACAACAAAATTAAATTGTATAATCCCACAACGCGCTATAATTTAATAGATTAGCTCGGTACATCGCAACAAGAATGGTCCCACCCCACCATCGCAACTACATAAAATTCTGCTGCCTGACATCATTACGTAACAAAACAAACTACCAGAGAAACACACACACACACACACACCATAATTCAAGGTAGCCACGAAACATCATAACCGACTGCAATACTGCATTGTGCTGTATCGTACAATTGTAGAGCGCGTTTATTGAATTTTATTCAGATTCGGGTTTCGTTCTGTTGAAGAAATGATGTTTTAAACGGCTTTTGAAAACTGCTTTGTCGATATCTTCATCAACTTTCAATTCAGCTGACTGCTTAGGGACATCAGAAATTAAATTTAGCAGCTCTTTCATTCAAACTCATGTCTCATCTGTTGAAATATTTCTTACAACGACCCCCGCTTAAAATTTAATTTTGTTCTCCTTTGATAACCAATAAGGGGGAGTAACATTAGAAGCCCTCTAAACTTGATTGCTATATAACTGATACTTGATATAACATCTCATAACATCACAACACACAACAACACATCATCACTTATAAACAACAACACGACAGTACAACAACACATCATTACATATAATACACCCCAGACCAGCACGGAACATTCTAGCAACACACACGGAACACAATGCAAAATGGGTTAAAAAAGTGCAAAGTAAACTGATCCAAAAAATGTTGAAATGTTGTTTGGTATTTTCTGAAATGAAAGGCATGATGGATTGAATGAGGGATTAAGGGATGAAAGAAGGAGAAATTCTTGTTGATGAAAATATGAACGTATGCTCTTCGTAGAAATGTACCAACAGGAACTCACACGTGCCAAATAAGAAATACTTTCATCTTTACAAATGCAATCCAATATTTTTCCACCAAAAAATGCTGCTAACGACGATGAAACGTTTGAAATTTTGAAATAATTTTTTTTATCTGGTATGTTTACTTTTACTTTCAATCAATTATTTCAAAATTTATTTCCTTTATACGAGCCATGATTTTTCATGAATTAACTTGTAACAGCAGGCAACGTGAGCGATGTCTTACCACGGCAATCAACCGCATGCTCAATTAGAACCGGCTGAAAATTTGCATTTTTCAGATCAATTTGATTTCTTTCAGCCCAGCAGCACAAACTCATGAACGTTTTGTTAGGGGTCTTATTAAATATTTTTCCATTTTTGTCTAGATTTATATTTTCAGAATTTTTGAAGTTTATAGTTGAAATATGTTTTTATGATTGGATTGCCAAATATATTTCTGATTGTCTATGCAACGTAATGTGTGTTGTTGTATATTGTTTACGTTCGGTTATTTAATATTATGAACAAAAAATTAAATTTAAAATATTCTACAAAAATAACATTTAATTTTGACAGGCAAATGTTCAGTTTGACACAAAACGGATTCACAAAAATGTTATCAAACCAAACTGATCTGTTGATCTCGAGATAAGATTATGATGGGATGAAGCCCTGCAAATAATAATGCAAAAAATGCCATTAAACATTTTTCAAAGCAACTTATTTCTAAAGTTGTTACTTAATTTAAATTAATTAATGACGTATCTCTATTAAAATATTTTTCAAACCAGCCCTAATTTAATGAAAATGTAAATTAAATGTATTGTCAACACGCAATCGTAATGTATAAAAATCGTCATGAAAGTAAATAAACACAACTCATATCAAGCACCAACCCAACCTTCTCATAAGATACAGGATACTCATATGAGTGTTCTGTATCTTATCGTCACACATTTGTTAGCTAATTTCATATGAATTCAAACATCTATATTGTTCTTATTCGACGGTGCGTTGTTTAGACAATTTTATTTCAAGAAACCCGTCAAAAATGTCTTCTCAATAATCGGTTTATATTATGACACAAATGGTGAAAATAATAAATATTGGAATGTCAAGGTCATATATCATAGCGCATAATGATGGCCTGCATGTATGGGATGATGAATGTCCGGCAAGTCAGTGGACATGCGGTCAAACACTCCATCAAAGGATTGTGCAGTGAAATGTATTTCAAATGACCATCCTACCTCATCATAACGACACTGCAAAATCTTCCAATTTATATTCGTTTCCACTTTTTGATATAATGCTTTGCGGATAGTTTTGTGAATAATTAAATATGGGTTTAAATTTATCTCAACATGGGTTTGTTGGTGTGGTGGTTTTTTCAATTATTCAGTTCTTAAGAAAAATAAGTATCTTGTTGATTAAATGAATAAATTAAAGCATTAAAATGTCTCAGGCGCCTGAACAATAAATAAAAATTTTTCTATTTTTAAATTAAATCCCGCTTATACAAAGTTAATTCTATGCAGAGTTCTATTTACTTTATAAACTCAAATGGACAATCTGCAACAAATAAATTCGCAGAAAAACTAAGTTCAGCTGAATTAGCAAACGCATAGAAAAGGTCTTCCTGCGGTGTTGGCGTGAATTTGTTATGTGGGATGCTGCTTGTTGATGGTGTTTTTGTGGCTGTTGCAATTCGGCGTTTTGGTGGTTGTTGTGGTTGTGGTGTTTTGTGGCTCTTGATTAAAAGGTTGTTAGTTATGATGTTGAGGTGTCAGTTCATTTTGATGTATGTAATGCAGTTGTTTATATTCAATGTTGGTTGCAGTTCACGATGGAGGTACTCAATAAATTTCCTAACATTTTCCGATGATACAATTTTAAAAACGTTCAGCCGGCTTACAAGCGGTAGTTATATGTGGTAATAACGTTATTAGGCTTTGTGATTAAGCTGATAATCAGTTCGTTTTATCATTGCTAATGTTTTTTAATTCCTTATAACGCAGTTTTGTCAAACGCAGAGCTGATTACATGTTCAATTTTCAAGCCGCAAAGACTGTACCATCCACACAACGTACATACACATTACGTATGCGGGTGCAAGCGAGTATCGGACAGACGGTATTCGAATCATACCACGGCGTAAAAACAGCGTGAGACATGGCACTTCTACCGACTGAGCTAACTCGGAGACCAAATTATTATTGTGAATTAATAAATAATAAATAAATGAAATGTATAAATTAATTAGTCTTTAAATTCTTGGCTTCAAAAAACATAAAGTTATTTCTCAAATTTTTTTGAAATGTAATTCTTTCAATTAACCAAATAAAATACTTTATTATTATTATTATTATTATCATCATCATTATAATTATTATTATAGATAACTTTAACCGCATCATTACCACCACCACGTATGGTATAGTTGTAGTGGTACATTTTTTTGTACTAGCGAGGAAGTACTTGTTACTCATCAACCTCTGTCAACCTAATGCTGCATGCACGTTTTTTCGGTGAATTTTTTGCAGGAAATGATGTTTATTTGTTTTGAGCACGTGATCTGATTCTCTTCTATATATTTTATTCTATTCTTTTGCAATGTCACTTTTTAATGCAAAAATTTCTTTTGCTCTTTCCACCTCCCAAATTGGCTGCTGGGCTGCAGATACTTTTTGGAATTTTTATTTTCTAAAATAAAAAAAACCCCTAGAACTTCGGACTTGATCGTTACTTATATTTAATGTTTCAGAATGCAATTAAACTTATGAATTCATACACGTTCTCTGCATGTTCATGAATTATTCATGAACATGCATAAACAATAGAATATAACTTCACTTAAATAACAAGACGTAACCGAATCGTTCACAACTTTAGGAGTGCTTGGACTTGGAACACAATTCCAATCTACTTCTATTTAAACCATATAAAATTTCTAAGTTATAACACTAACCTAATGTAATTTTTTAATATTAGTTACATATAATCTGTTCAATATGATCCATGAGAATGAAACTAAGCAGCAGATTAGGGAGAACCTGCTGTTAATGTGAGCCAGTGTCAATGTTTTATGTCTTCGAATTAACATAATTCATAGGTTGGCCGAAGTAGATTTATCGTTCTTCTGTCTTTGCGTCCGTCCATCTTTGTTTATCGCTTTGCAGACGCGCTTTATTTGCTTTTGTTCTCGAATGCGTTTGCCGGTATTTAATGCTGATGTTGGTGGGGATGTTGCCGATGTTGAGATTGGTGATGTTATGGCTATCGTCCTGAATGTTAGTAATTGTTGAAATATTGGATTCTGCCTTTCGTGTTTTTCGCCATAGTGGTTTCAACTTTTTCTTTTTTTAAACAGCTTTGCATGTGTGATGCGAACAGCAATGTTATATAAGTCTTTGTTATTAATGTTGCGTGTGGCTGGCGACGTTTTTGTTATATCTGTTAACGAAGTTAGACCTAAAGACGCAGCACAATATTGTGGATGATTGTTTTGTCATATTTAATAGATTAATTTAGAACACTACAAATATTTGGAAATGTATAGTTGGATGTGCGGCTGACGGTTTTATAAGAAAAAGTTTCTGGACTGTAATTTTCAGAAGACATTGGTGGGCAGCATCAACGGAATGTCACTTTTTCATTTTTTGATCACTAGAACAAAAAATTTTACAAAAATTCCACATTACTGATAAATTTATGAAATTGATCTATAAAAGTATTTACATGTTTTGAAAAAAACTATAATGAAATGTATGCAGGCAGATGAATTTTACACAAACACTATTCATATTTTTTATGTATATTGTTTATACTTGCATGGTCAGTGTTTATACTTGCATGGTCAGTGTTTATACTAGCGTGTTTAGTGTTTTATATTTGCATGTTTAATGTTTATACTTGCATGTGCCACGCAAGACCAGCAATTAAATTGAACGTTCTCACTGGACCGCATTGCCAGCGGGACAACCAAGCGTTAAGTTTTAAATTGTTTTACTTCTTTACATATATTTTTAAAAAAGTTAATAAAATCGTAATAAATTAAAAAAATTTTATTTTGCCTTTAATCCAGACACTTTCCAAAGCTAACATTTTTTAAATTAATTTCACTAAAAACTGCAAATCTTCTTAAATTGTAATAAAAGTTTTGACTTAGGTAGCTATAAGATTCAATAACTCTATATTAAACAATAATAACGACAACAACCACAACAACAACATTAAAAACGACAATAATTTCCAGCTTCATATAGATAATTAATAAATCTGTTCTATAACTCTTTTTAATAAACGCATCATCATCATCATCATCATCATTATCACAATTACCATCATCATCATCATCATCGTCGTCGTCATCATTACCACCACCATCATCATCATCATCATCACCACCACCACCATCATCATCGTCATCACTATCACCAACGTAGAGAGATATTCTAATAGGAGCATATAATGCATATCCGTGGCTAGCAAGCCGTGAGTAGTATTTTATTTTGTTCATTCCATCAAAATGTTCCTGGTACGAACATGCATAAGCCTATGATGCAGTTTGTTCTGCAGCTGCTGCTGCTGATGACGATGATTATGAAGTGGTTTATGATGACGACGACGACGATGGTGATGATGACATGATGATGACGAAGTGGTTGATAGTGATAGTGATAAGGTGATGAATACTGTATTGCTGAAAATGTTAAAAATGATGACAACCGAATAGTGCTGATCACAGTTATAATGAGATTGGGTTAATTGTAGTGATAATATAATGAGTAATGAATTAAATGTTAATTAACATGACTAAAAATAATGACGTTGATGACTATATCACAACACCATCGGGGCGATGACAATTGTGATGATTGAAATAAAGCTGAGGGTTAGAGTACTAGTGAATCAGTGATGGCAATTATAACATGTGCAAATATGCTGTAGAGGACTGTTACCTATTGTTAAAAACTACGGTAAAAATGAAATCATATTATTATTAATATAGTATCGAAATGATGAGGAACTGATTAAACGATAGTGAGATATATGAAAGATGATCAGGCAAAACGCATAACGTTTTGTAATATTATCACAGGATTAAAGTAATCAACATTGACATCATCAACATCATACAAGCACAATTCTTCCAAATTCCACTTTTTCAGTAATTAATCCAATGAAATAATAAACTATAAAATGTTTCGTATTTATCAGCGTGATTTTATTTCCATTTTTATGAGCTAAAAGGGAATGATATGAAACGTCTGCATTTACATTTATTCTCTTGTGCATGCATAAGTTGTTATTATTATTATTGTGAAGTGCATATTAAAAATAAATAAATTTTATCAAATCAAGGCTTTTTTTTTGCACCAATTCCCATTCATTACTAGGACGTTGTTCTACTATTTCACTAGGAGAAAAGCTAATTAGCCCTTCTTTTTTCCTTCTTTTGCTTAATTTGCTCCCTCTTGCTAGAGGTGTTCGGTCTTTTCGCTTGACAGATCTAGCGTCAACAGCTGATTCACTGTCTGCATCAGCTTCTGCATCTATTGCTGATGATTTTTCTTGGTTTCGCACCCTTGATGTTGGTGGAAAGAACACTGCATTCGGCAATGGATTTTGAATCTTTTGCGTTTTTCTGCTCAATTCCAACGCTTTCAACTTTATAAAGGCATTTGTAATATTAATCGCCCTGTTTTTAATCTTTTTATGGACATTTGATTTTGGTTTAACTAAGTCCAATAGCCCATCATAAGCTGGCTTAATTGTTCCCAGTTATTTATTCGCTTCATTTCAGCATTTGGGTCTAGTGCTTCTTGTTGAGCGTGATCCCTGTTATCAATGATGTCTCCATTTTTTTCAGTGAACTTTGTTGTCTTCATTTTAGTCCCACGAGTACCACGGGAAATTTGTGTCAACTTCAGTAGAGAACTGGTTACTGAAACAAGGCCTTTTAAATACACCTGGGGTTGGACCTGGTGCCCCAGGGGAACCATTTGCGTCGCAATTTCCCTGGCACCATTCAGTTCTTGGTACGGTTTTTGCACGCTTTGACTTAGGGTGTGTTTCGTTTGCGGGAACTATTTTATTTCGTTCCAACCCTTTGATCTAAAGATCAGCAAGCATTCTCGTAAGGGAAATTAAAAAGACAAACTTTAAATTGATTAACATAAACAATTCGGTAAAATTCATACAATATTGTATAAAATATAGTCTCTTTCCAACATTTACACGTATGTATTTGTATATAGGTGTACATGTCTTTTCAATAAACTCTTTTTATATTATTTTGTCAAATGAAATCAAACGGAATCATCAAAATGACAAAACATCAAGTGTATGTATATATGCATTCGTTTACAGTATTTTAGTTGCACTTGCTAATCAATTTGAATTTTAAAATTGAATTTCTCATTTCAGTCATTTTGTTTTTGTAATTATGTGAACTATGGGCATGCATGTATGAATATGCATGCTGTAGCTGTGTGTTCACGTGCGGTATGAGATGTACCGTACACTCATTATGCGCGAGCGATTCATTGATAGGTGAATGATGATACGTACGAATGGAAAACAATTTACTCGCCCTCATAAATAATGCATGGACCGTAGTCTGACAATCGGTCATGAATATCTGATGCTCACTCATAACCTGCTCCCATTTCATCGGAATTAATTCATTCCGTACACGACAGTTGTTGCATACATTTTAAATGATGGACCCAACATAATCAACAACTGCATTGCGGAATGGTTCAAATAAAACACGTAGGTGACCTCTACCTCATTGAAAGGTTTCTTGATTTATTCAATTTCAAAAAAAAATTATTTGAATTTAATTTTGACAAGTCTTCTTTGAATTAACCTATTTGAAATTTAAAGCCTAATTAAATCAAACATTATGTAACAAACGCTTTTTGAGCACTGATTTGAAAAGTTGGCGTATGATGATGTCGATGGTACTGGAGGAGGAGTTGAATGCAGACGGACGGACGTACAGTTGAAATGAAATAAAATATGTTGATTTGGCTGGTAGGTGGCATGTGAAGCGTGTTTATCGGGGAAGAGCATCTGTGCATCTGTTCGAGGCAGCAACATTCATTGACATACATCAGGATATGTGCGCAACGGCGTGCACATTTGCACGTACCTACACGCAAATCTTGTATACATCTTTCTCTTTTTGTGCGTTAGATGTGTTCTACGCATATATATATATATATATATATATATATACATATATATATATATATATATATATATATATATATATATAGTGTTTTTGCATGTAGTGGCAGCACGTGCCGACATCATATGTAAGCCATCAAATTGATGTTACAGTGTGTGTTTGGAAATTTGCTCAGAAAATGAAAAAAGTTGTAGATTGATTTTTATTAGTCTGGTACGTAGGAGGCATGTGAAAGATTTAAACTTCATGGCACGTTGTGTATGCATAAAAATGTGAACAAGACATGTTTCTTCATTAATTCATAGTTTGAAAATAATGATGTGCTATCTTAAACCTATTTCAGCCTGAGATTATCATGACGTCGTACTAAAACTATAAATTATATATATATATATATATATATATATATATATATATATATATATATATATATATATTTATGTATATATTTAATTTTGTATGTATTCATGTACATATGATATATATATATATAACCTAAATTTAGTAGATGCCCATCAGATGTTTATTCAAAACGACATGTATGTGATGATGTGATTGGACATGTGTGGTTTCATGGCTGTCTGTCTATGTTTGGGCACGGCTGTCTGATTACACACATGTGCGCGTGCGTGTGTATGTGCGTGTCATGGAATTCTAGAAAATACAAAGTATCCGTGGTGTGTGTGTATGTGCATGCCGATATGCATTTGTTAGCATGTCTACGGTTATATTTTAGCAGAGAGGTTACGAAATGATAATGTGTATTGTATTTCTTGTGAAGCAGTGATATGGTTCAAATGTGAGATACCCATCTAATATGGGCACGTTTGTTAACGTCATATGCATCTTTAAAAATTATTTCCAGTGTAACTCTTATTAAATGTGCACAAGTGAATTCAAGGTTCACATTGGTGTACAAGTCTGTGCTTACTAGTGCTCGGGCGTTTCTATTTTATTTATTTTTCAAAAGTTATAATTTATAAACTGATGAATTGTATTTTTTTTATTTTTTAAATGTGATTGATATTTTTTCAAATTTAAATTTTTGTTGCAAAAAGTTTTCTTTGCGTTTATTCCCATGAAGATGAAATGACGGCATAAATGAGGCTGGAAAATCGAAAGCTGAGGATTTAAACATATGTGGACCCCAAAACGATGTTTTTTCAATGTAAATGATTTTTAGATTACAAAATTATAAAACATTTTTTGCAGTTTTACTAAAAAAAGTGTTTAAATTATAATAAACTTTTAAAATTTATTGAATGGTAATTTGAAAGTTAACTAGAATTATAGTTATATTCATTTATTGTTGAAATGATTTCTTAATAAGCAATAGTTTGAAAATCAAAAGAGAACAAGTTTCAGCAGATGATCGTGGAGATTTGTTAGAAGTAGTAGCATCAACCTCGAAAGGATTCAGTGTGCAGGGAATTCGTAAACAGCGATTGATGATTTGTTAATAAATAAAGTGATTATTGATTTGCTAACAAATTAAGCGATAATTTAAAAGTTATATCGTGTAACTATTTTCAATTGGGATAAAACGAACCCGTCGTCTACCGGAAAGTTATAACATTGGTATCAAAAGGGGGATCTACGGTGGAAAATAATTAGCATTGTTGTTGAAACGTTTTGATTTTTTTGTCGACAAGTTATTATTTTGTAAATAAAACAACATGACAAAACTATTTCAACTTACGTTGGTTCAAATCAAAAAAGAGTCACAAAAACGAAATTGTGGGTCTCGTGGCCGAGTGGTTAGCATGTCCGTCTACTACTCCCACGACCCGGGTTCGAATCTTGCAGTTTCTGCAAGTTTATCCGGGTAGCCGACCCCCCGGCCAACCCAGCCGTCCATTCTTTCGAGGCTGGTAAATGGGTAGACAACGTAAGTTGTCGCATGTTGGGCGGCGAGATGGCTCAGTGGTTCAAATGCTCGCTGAGTCAAACATCTCGAAGGCTATCATATACTCAGCGTATATGATGCGCGTGCACATAAATACATGTGTACGTCGTGTGAAAAGGATAAACAGCCTTTGTGGCGAAAGATGGCTGCTTCAGAACATAATAAAGATATATAGATAATATATATGCAACATCATTGTATGTGGTTCTGCGTATGTCAGAGCTGCAATAATAAAGACTAATGAAAAAAAAAAATTTTGCCACAAGTGGAAACAGAGGTGCTTTGATAGCACGCCTAACGGAAATTTTTATTTGTGAAAATTAAAATCTAGATGAATTTAAGTTTTCCGATCAGGATGTCAAATCAAATGCATTTGTAAACGTTGGGACAATGAATTGATGGCGCTACTTTTAACAACATAGCATAAACGTGTAGAGGATGACCGTTGACCATGTCCATGCGTCAGAACCGACTGCCTCAACTAAGGAGGCGAGAAACTAATAAAAGCCAATTTTGCTGGGCAGAAGTTTGCTGGTAAAAATGACGCCCCTAGTACCATTATTAAAATATTTAGGCTGCATCAAAGTCAATACGACATTTGCTTGGATGGCGAGGTCGGCTCACAAAAATGTTCAATCACAATCGACACCGGAGCAACGAGGTCAATTTTAAAATCTGATCTGGTACCCGACCTAAAAAGAAAAAACTTTCTTAAATACATTTTTCGAACAGCTACAAAAGGAACCGCGCCCGTCTACGGAGAAATTTCTGCGACTGTTCAACTAGGCGATTTGGCTTCGAGGGTGCATTCCAAATAGCAGATATAACTGATGAATGCACAATAAGCGTTGATTTCCTAACAAGACGTGGGTTTATAAAAACGTGTTTTTAGATGGAGAAATACAAACATAATAATGGGGACCAGGGAGGCAAAATGTATTCGTTTAACGATCGATTGCGATACTGAAGTTGTATTTGGTTTAAAAGCCAAACATTTGATCCGGATTTTGCAGATTTATTTTTCACTTGAGACGATAATAAAAAAAAACAGGCCTTATTACTCATCAAATTGATACTCAGGTCTCAAAGCCAATCAGACAAGTACCACGTCGTCTCCAACTAGCAAAACAAGAAGAGGTAAACAAAATGATAACTACAATACTAAGGCAAGTGTCATCAAACCGTCAGCTAGTCCTTGAACCTTGCTAGTTGTCTTAGTGAAGAAAAAATACGGTAGATTGTTAGCCACTACCGAGAATAGATGACATGGACACGTTGTCAGGTTCACACTGGTTCTCTACACACGATTTAGAAAGCGGATATTGGTGAGTTATATATTGCAAAAAACTTTGTTTACCAGTTTGCAAATACTGTAGTCAACTGGAAAGAAGTACAAACAGAATATGTACTAAAAATTACGATAACGGCAGTCACAGATTGGGCACCGGAAAAACTGGCAAGCGCACACTCTGTAGACTAAAACTTACAATATGTCATTGCATGGATGAAATCGGGCAAGCGACCTAAATGGCAAGATATATGAGATCGGTTCGTCGTTGAAAAGCTGTTGGGTTCAGTGACATTTCTTGCAGTTGAAAGATGGGTTGCTTAAACGAAAATGGGAATCAGCAGATGGCTCAAAACATCGCATGCAGATTGTAGTACCTAGGGATAAAATTGCTAAAATTTTTAGAAAAATTCATGGTGGCTCAGCAGGAAAACATTTTAGAATTAATAGAACGTTTGACAAAATGCATGAAAAGTTATACTGGATTAAAGCTCAAGAAGATGTGGAAAGTTGGTGTAGAAAATGTAGTACGGTGCGGTGAAAGGTCTTAGAAAGAGGTTACAAGGAAAAATGCAAATTTATAACGTCAGTGTGCCTTTGAAAGAATTGCTATCAACATTGGCAAACCATTTCTCGAACCAAATGGTGGAAACCATTACATTCTGGTTGTAGCGGACTAAAAATAAAAAAAAACAAGTTGAACATTTTTTAAATTTCCAGAGTAATAATTTTGTTTGTGTAATTGATGTGCACATTTGTTGTACATTCATTCAATGTTTGTTGTTCCTCATTCTGCATTTGTTGTACGTTCATTCTACATTTGTTGTACATTCATTCTACATTTGTGCCTTTAAAACTTTTCTGGATATTTGCAGCTTTAAACTGCATGAATGAACACATGAATCACAGCAAATAAAATTTTTTCAAACATATCGAACTAAAAATTCACTTTAATGCCACTCGTTTTACGGATGTACTATTTTGTTCAACTTGATTTTATGAGCCTTGTTTTTAGTTGATTGATTCATCTGATTACCAAAAATAAAATTCTCTCAGTATTCGTTCAAAATAATTTTTCAATGGAACAAAGTATGATCGAGCAACCTCATATCTTTCATTCGGGTCAGATATATTATAATGCTCATTTTCAGACCGTACATCATTCCCTCCCAACCGCATGTTGAAAGAGATTATGCAGTTTATAAATAACGATCAAACGCAAGCACACGAACCCACAAAACACGAGCACGGGAACAGCGATGTAGGCAGGCTGCAGATAATTTACTACCTTAATTGGGGTATAATTCAACTTTATGCCGGCGGTGCGCTGCTGCGAGGATCGGGAATGCACATAAATTGATAAATTTCTCAAACTTGATTTCTATGATGCCTATTATTAAATTAAATCTGCTTCCTAACATGAAATTGTTCATTCATCTGGTTCATTGAAAAATTAACTTCATCTTATCGTTTTTTTAACTTTCCAAACTGTGCAAATGTTTATGGCTGTAGATGTCAATCGCGTAAAATTTTTAATAAAAAGTTGAATACATAACCAGATAAACAATTTAAGTTGTTTAAAAAAGCTCATTCATGTGGAAGACAGCTTGGCAATTAAACATGATTTTTGTTTGTTTTTATTAATATATCAAGGCTGATGTTTATGATCGCGTTTTTATTTATTCAGTAACATTCATTCATTTCATCTACCTTCAGTCTCCAACTATCATCGTTATCATCATTGTCACTGTTTCTATCAGCACCATCATACTCTTCATCATCAACATCAT